TGAGGGAGAATGAAAAGATGGCAGGAACAGTGGGTAATAGATGTGGGAATATTATGGTTCAAGATTCTAGGAGTGAAGTTGAAAGACAGTAGGTTGTATTTGGTGAAGAAGAGTCTTCAAATCGTTAATATGGAAAAGTAGTAGATACTGGTAATGCCAAGTTCTTAGGGATCCCCACTGGAGTGAATTAGGGTAGTGGTCAGGATAATTGGAATAAAGGAGGTTAAGGAACTGAGAGACCAGGCTATTTGGAAAGGCCATCTGCAGGCCTGTGCTCATAGAAATCTCCAAGCGCTGCTGCTGCTCTAGTGGCTGACACCGTTAGGTTAGCCAGACTTGCCTGTGTGAAAGCTATTAGTGCAGACACATTCCGCTTCTGAACGATGCCATTTCAGTCCCACAGGTTTCAGACTTCCTGGAGCTTGACTGCTTCTGAGAAGCAGATATATTTTGCCTCATGTGCTGTGCATTTCAGGAGCAAACAAAAATGATGACACATTTCACAGGGGAACAGGACCAGGATCAAGGTTATGAATTCAACAAATATGAACTGTCAGATGCTAGAGGATTGGCTTAGTAGTAGAGACCTCAGGGTCAAAATACTCAAGTTTCCCTGCAACCAGAGATTCCAATCTCAAAAGCTTCAACTCAGTCCTTCACCCTTTGAAGGCAGATAAATTGGGTAGCACAAAATTGATTGGCCAGGGTCTTTTAGATGACATCTTAAGACCAAAGCTCCATCTGCTCTCTTAGGACATCAGGTAATTCGAGGCTTTTTTTAGGAACAAGAATTGACATTACAAAACATGTCCAATGGAATGGAGACATTGATTTTCTCCTGGAAAATATTCATATATAAGTCACTCTCCAAAAGTAAAGAGAGAGAGCAGCAATATGGTAAAACAGCAAACAAGGTCTGTATTGTTGGCTAGCCCAAAAATTTCCTTACCAGTATGAGTAACATGCATATATGTGTATATTTCAACTGGAGTGAAATGTCAACCCTGAACAAATGAAATGGTGGGTTTTTTTTTTTATGGTTAAGGACAAACACATGACTTCAATAAACCAAGTCATCTTAGCGACTTTCAGTTGTTATTGGTTGTCATTCTATTCTAATAATTCATTGTTGGGCAAATGTCAAAGAGAACTGGTTGTCCTAGTTATTTTTCAACATAGTCTCAGAGGGAAATGATCAAATATGGAAAAATCTGTAATCTCTAATGAATGCAATTAAAAGATTCTGGAACTGCTTGCATAGGCATCACATCTGAGTAAAATAAAATTGATCACATCCAACTAGTCATTGCTGCAAAGTTTTCAAAATGTTAAGCAAGTTCAATACATGGAAAAGTAGAGAAGTATATAGCAGGATTACTAAGCACATTTTGGACTTACAGAAAGTATAGTAAGTATGAGGGAAGTTGTAGGTAAAGGTGATTGCTGTGTTTGAGCATCCGGAAAATTATAGATTGCAGGCAAGAAATTGTAGTCAACAATGTCTTATCTTGTACATGTGTTTGTTCATGTTTTGAAATGCATTGCTGGACATGAACCATCATACTGCATGTGCAAACTCTTTCTTTCATGTATTTCTTTCCTCAAAGTAGACCCAGGTTTCCAAAAGCAGGAAGTAGCTTCAGACCTGTAAAATACTTGACTAGTTACTGAATATACTAGTATTTAATGATGTCGGATCTGTCTTCTTTCAGAATTCCTGGTCTAGAAAAGTTTGTAAAGTACTCATACAAATTCTTCAATTAGAATATTATTTCCCAGCATGAAGATTAAATGGTGGCCCTGGTTCAGTGCTACTAACTGACTAGTTAAAGATGCTCTGCCTACCTTCAGTTCGCTGATATATTTGGCAATGATGACTGAGTTCACCGCTATAGATTAAATGACAGCCATTTAGGAAGTTTAGATTTTTCAAAAGTAGTGGCTATCACTATATCATATACTTTTTATAAGACCAATAAATGGTCTTATGAAAAAGAAAGCATTTGGAGATGATTAAAAATGAAAACATATAACCAGACCAAGAATAATGAAGGCATTGCCATCCTTACAGTCATATACAACTGTTCAAGATATTCATCGTGACCATCACTCTTGTGCTCGCTCTTAGGCTTTCGAGCGGGCCCTAAATTAGTGCTAAGGGAACTTGGCAGGGACAGGGAGACCCTGGCCTTTAAGATAAAATAGTATTTGATTCTATTCAGTACCGCTGCCACGGTGCTTCAGAGTCAATTATTAAATTTAATTCTTTATTTTTCAAATGCCAGCTCACTACTCCCATCAAGACACACAGAGCATTGAAAGGACCCTTGATGTGGTCCTATTCCATCATATGATGAAGGAGTGCTGAGCTCCCTAGGGAA